GTGAACTTCGTCGTAGAGTGTTCCATTGTGAAGTCTCACGATGAACGCGTTGAGAGGCTGCTTGGTGAAAAGCTGGTTATGCGGACGATATTGTCCTACTGTTTAACGATGTTGTGGCGGCGCAATCAACCCCGAATAATGTTAATTTATTGGTCCCGTCATTTGGTATGCCCTTCGCTCCTTCAGTATGCAAAGTGTTGCTGCAGGACCACCAACCAATTAATGCCCCTTGACTCTTTATGGCGAAGTACTCGGTTTAGTTGATTGATCCGCTTACCTTGGCAGCTGTATCAGTAAAGATGGGCATAAAGAAACTGAAGTCCGTTCACGCATTGTAAAAGCCAGAATTGCTTTCTTGAATTTGCGATATCTTTGTCGACAGAAAAGAAATTCGCGCCGTCTGTAAGACCGCGTTTACGAAGCCACAGTGTCATCCTACTCTGTGGAAGCGATACTCAGGCCCTCCGATCTGAGGACCTGCCTCGCCTTCAATTCTTAGTTCATCGTTGTCTGCGAAGCATTTCTGGTGTCGGATGGCACTAGCGTGTCCGCAACGATAGCATGCGTAGGCGACCGCTAGTCAATGATATTCAAGCTTGTTCCTTAGAACAAGAGATACCACTGAATAAGTTGCATTGGCTTGGGCAGCTACTACGTATGCCCGAAAACCGCATACCGAGGAGGGCCTTGTTTTCTCTGCTGGATGCATGGTGGCTCAAGGCTCCAAGTAAGCGAATGTTGACTTGGCAACAGGAAATGTAGTCACTGACTACTAAACTGAGTACCATCGATTCGTGTTGCCTTCCAGGCTAGGAGTTCATGTGACTCCTCTTGTGCTACGCTCAAGAATTTACAGAACTTGGTTCTCAGTCAACACCAGTGGTGCGCCTGCTGCCGTATCCTAGTCGGAGTGCCTGTTTAAAGTGTGTCTGGTGCTGAGTTACCTGCAGGGTAATGACTGATTATCAGGTGGGCAGTAAAAGGCGCAAGGAACGTCTCTTACGGATCCCGTCTTATCTATGCACGATATCCAGCAGTTTGTGATGGTATGTTGTTGACAAGGTGTAGTCGCCTTAACCCTGACTGCTTCCTTAGGACATCAAGGTTTTCCGGTAAGCCCCTCTTCTCTCATTCTTATCGTTCTTCGTACCGTAGGTCGTTGTGGTTGTATGGCAGCGAACGATCAGTTCAAATAGCTGACGTGCTGTGTCGATAGTGATTCCTCAGCCTTCATTATAAAAAACAGCTGTCCACACAGTAAAATTCCCTACGGCTAATGAGTACGTTGGTAATGGTGGATAATAGCGAGTGTTTTTATTTAATTGCGCCACTTTTTGTTTTTGTCTTTTTGAGGATCGTGTTGCAGAATACGTGGATCCAGACTACTAGGTGCCCTGTTCCTCATACGAACACAGTTGGGCGCCATATTTTTGGGCGCTTCGAGACACCCTCATTCTTTTCCCTAGATTCCAAATCAGGGAGGCGCATAGCGCAGATCTTATCTAAAGGAGTTTCCAACAACTATATGTTTCGCTGCCAGGTGGTACGCTGGCTGCCGCGCGAGCGAATAGCGCCTACGATGGTCAGGCTTCGTTTTCACGCATCGCTGCGCGAGCAGATACTTTTTAGCTTCTCGTTTATAAAAGTGCATCACGGCAACATTAATATGGCTTCAACGACGCGGATTGACCCCTTCAAATTAGTGGCACCAGTAGAAACAGCCCCTTGGGTCAACAGAGCTGTCCAGCTTGTACAAAACGTGTACTTTCAACAGTGTCTACAGAAATATTTCGGTGCCTCTCCCGGAGCAGCATTTTTCACGTCAGGGCTATAGTGTGCAAAATTCTGTGATGGTTCAACCGCCTAACGATCCAAAATTAGTTGTACGCGGGTAAAACAATAAGTTTCTGGATGCATAAACGTTTTAATTTTTACAGCCAAATAAGCATTACATTTTCTCGGCGTCCATGCACAGTTCCATGCGCTCGAACCATTTGGAGAAGCAGCTAGACCATGCCGAAGCGGATAACCTTTCAAGCAGTTCAGTAAAGGTTTATACTACAGCTTCTGGAGACTCTTAGTGGATTCCACTTATTTTGCGTTTGACATTTGGGAACACAAAAATCACACGGAGCCAAATCTGGACTGTAGGGTGGGTGACCAACTTAATGGATGCCTTCTTTAACTGGGAAATCCATAACGACAAAGGACCTGTGTGCAGGTGCGTTGCCATGGTGCAGCAAGGTCCCTCCTGCTCGAGTCATTGGACGACACCTAGCTACAGCTTCTAGCACTCGTGGCAGACAGTGGATGGCATGCCACTCTCCGATGACAGTGTGTTGCTGTACGAGCGGTACATTGGCCACATGACCGGTCTTGACCATGAACATAGCCACCATCTTGATTACATGGCGCTCACGCCGAAATTTCTGAGGCGGGGATCCACAAACGGTCGTCCACTGAGCCGATTGTTGCTTGGTCTCTGGGTCGAAACTGCACCCCCAGATCTCATCGCCACTGAGGATCTCCCAAAGAGCATTGGAATGTCCACCATCAAACCAGGCAAGCCTGGTGCGGCACCAATTCACCCGAGTTGCTTTCTGGCCCTCACTGAGCTGATGGAGTACCCAGCGTGCGCAAGCCCTTCTGAATCCGAGGTTCTCATCTAGAGTGGTGCGGATTGATCGCGATGAGATCCAATGGATTTTCCCAGCTGTACCACAGTCACCCGCGTGTTCTCCTCCAGCATCGCTCGCACAGCAGCAATTTTGTCTGCTGTGGTGGCCTCTGCAGGTCGACGACAACGTGCCTTATCATCCAGGGACTGCCTGTCACGCTTGAATTCCACAAACCACTCAAAAACGGTGGATCTTGAAGGCGCATCTTCACCAAACGCAGCGCGCAATCACTCAACACTAGTGCTGCTTTGAACCACATTCTAGTCATAGGATATCACCGCCCTCCAGTGACATCGACCGAGTCCTATGTTTGCAGTCAGAGTATAGCGTCCCTTATGACTTGTGAGCTGCGCTGGGCTGGTGATATAGGGTTCTGTGAGTTGAAATCACTGGAACATGTTCAAAATGAATTACAGTTCACTTTTTTCTTGACAGATCATCTGCAGTTAATCTGTGTACTACGTATCCGCAAACTCATTGCTCTACGCTCGTATACTTTGGAGATCTCTCCTGAGTAAGGCGGAATCATTTGCATTATGTGCGTCGGTCGAGCGGCTATCTGTCTCAAGTTCTGCGTCAAACTTGTAAACCTTCTAGCGCCCTCAGTTTCAAGGATAAAACAGAGCAAGGTCATTCGTCACCCAACTAGTGACAGCGAGGAGGCCGAGAACTTGCTGTGAACCTTCGTTCTGCCCGAAACGCAGTCGAGACGTGACGATATATCTTTCGGGTGCTTATTTCCTTGGCAACCATCACCGTTAAACAATACGGTAGACAGAATCAGAAGTATGGAAAACAACAGGAGTTAGCTTGTGGTAGAGACTGCGCTCTTCGATGAGTCGACGGAGTTGTACGTTCAATTCGCGCTCCATTGACAACCAGACTATCTCTCTCTCTTTCACGTGAATATGATTCGCGAATCAAAGTGGATGCCAATAGTTTGTTGGTCATAGCTTGCAAGCACTTTCCTAGAAAATCAGGACGATGACCAACTCCCCCCAAGTTAAGTTAAACTTTTCTTCTCATCAAATCTTTAACACTAGTGCTGTCAACCGTTTGATAGGTAAGACGGCACTGCACTCGTCACATACTTCCTCCGACCACTGTAGAGCCACGCTAATAAATATCCTCGAGTTCTCACGGGCTGCCGCCTGGTAGTTTTCCTAATATACCTTACTCGACAAGAATAGGAGCATTTATATACAAAAATAAAATTTACTATTGAAGTGTATGATAATTACTACACCATCACAGTTGATCGGATCAACAGAATGGTCTCATCAGTTAGGGCAGAGTAACATATGTTTTCAATAGCCCATATTCAGGTTTATAAACATATACAGAGACCATAACGTGTGCACAGATATTACAAGTCATTACTCATCTAGCGGCTAAATTGGACGCAGATTATGGCTATCAGTTAACTAACGACACTCGATGACACATGACGCCGCAGGTCGGAGTTCATCAGCCGTTTACATCAAGGTGGTTCCAGTTTTCTAGTGAGCCTCTTCTGATCACACTGGCAGTGATATTTATTGGTTTGCTAATATCCAACTTTTGATCATGTATTCCAAATATTTAGACACCTTAATTGTTTACGGGTTTGTGCTAGTAACAAGATACCGCCTCCAATCATCTTAGCCGCCGAACCTGGTAGACACTAGTTTATTGATTCTAGTCTGAGCGTGCGGTGGTGCAGCACTTGGACGCTTTTGTTTGTTAAGGGGCACGTGGTCACTGCGTTTCGAACACGCTAACAGATCATATACACCTTTGGCCACATTCGTCTACGAAGTTTTGCACGGCTGATGCTCAAGTCTGCCTGCTGTGGTTTGTCAACGGAGGTTTTGATCTCATACTTCACGTTGAGCATCTGTGTTCATCGGATCAGTTGTTCATTTACTCTGGCCGACTCGAAACGCCTTCCTCGTACCTACTGTATTCCTATTTTATCGGACCGGCCTTGTGGCCATCGATCGAGGTGACAACGCCGTGGATTTCGTACCTCTCTTCTTCTGGGACGTTAGTCACTGTGTTTGCCGCATTGGAACTGGAGTCCACACTTGTGTTAACGTAGGAAGAGAGCCAGTGTCTCTCTTGCATCCGGTTTATACTCACCACCTGCTAATCCTTCAGACTGTATCTCACACACTTTTCGGTCGCTTAGCATCTTCACTCCACATGCTCGAAGGTTACAATCTACATCCCTCCAACTCTGAGAGACACGCTTTTATCCAAAGGCGCTCTTTCTTATTTCTGCTTGCCGGGAGTTCAACAGTTGATGCTTGTTCCATTTTGTTCTATTTTTGTGTTAAAAAGATGTCGGACAGTCCAAAGGGATTCAGTATTTGCTCGAGGAATCATCGGATATTTCCGCATCACCCCGTGGGGATGAAGATAGCAACACGACCCGCTCTGATGCTTCCGACATCTCCCAGCCCACAAAAACCATTCTGCGCGAGGTGTTGGATGGAATTATAGACCCACAACTGCTTGATAACTGCGCCGAGGATTTGCACATTCTCACTAGGCATTCCGGGGAAGAAATGTGCCAGCTATTACAGAGTGTTGAGGAGGCCAGAAACGAGGCCGAGATCAACGGTGATCCACGGAATGCTTCAGAATCTACCGACGATAAACCAGATGGTATGTTTCGTTTATATTGCCGGTATCTGTGGTTCCCCGAAATACACATTTCTATGCACAACGTTTTTTGTACTAATTCATAGCTCGTGGCACTTCACTATTTGGCTGTCTGTCACTGTGGATTCGCAGCTTTTGATATCAAAAAACTGCCCTCTTATGTTCATACTCATCTCTTTTTTTATAAGTATTTTTATCTTTTCAAGTGTGATTGTTTCCTATGGTTGATGGAAGGCTACTTCGTTTATACCCAGAATTTTCATTTGTCCAGTGTTAGCCTCAGCTCGATGCTAGATGACTTGGAGCTTGTCATCACTTTGGCTGTGCACATACATTACTTTGAAAATAGAACTAATGCTCTCTCCAATCCCCGTCTCGTTTTTCCAGGTGTCAAGCAACCCAAGTTGCCCCTATTCATTCCTGAAGCAGTTGTCCCGAAATCTGAATTTCCAGGTATTCGATGTGAATTTGTTGTCCTCGAACTTCGTTACCTGTCCCTGATATTAGACGCTAACTACTCATGTTATTGTACCATGGTATCCCTTTTTACATTTCGGATTTGCTAGTGTCGGCTTGCGTGTTGCCGTAAGCTTGTCTACTGAGCACTTAGCTATTGAGTGCCTGGGTGTGCACTTCATAGAAGCGTCCACTGGCTTCAATATTTTTGCAGTCTTCTCGGCTCCGACCTCTCGATTATGTCACAGTAGCCTGGATGTCGATACATAGTGAAAGTAACGCGCTTCGTTAAGGAAACGAAACCCCCCACTTCAAGACCACGGGCTCCGTTTGTTCCTCCGTCACATTTCCAGCCTTTCCCTCGCTTAAGCCTCGGTGCTTAGATAGAGGTATTACATGTGTTCATCGGCGGAATTGTGGTCCATTAGTGAGTTATACAGTCTACAAAACTCTGCAAGATTCATGTGTAGTTTTTTTCTGGCACATGACTTACAACATGCGCCACCGGGGTTCGAATGCCGGCTTAGTTCTATGTTGGGGCACCTTGGTAGTATCACAGCCAGTGTACAACCGCAGTGATGCATCAGTACGAGGTACTGATTTGTTTTCGAGAATTGGGATGCACCCTACTCCTTTTCCTTATGTTACACCTTATTTTACACTCTTTATGATTCACTTTCATCACGATTCGAGTCGGCAGCCCTGTATGACAACTCGACTTCATCGTCATTCATTCCATTTTCCAATCAGATACAACAGATGGAACTTTGTCTCTTGAAGGAATTGATGACGCTGAGCTTGAACAGGTATGTCGCTTGTGCATGTGTTTCCATTTGGCTTTTGTCCTTTGCTAATTTCCTGCGAAACCAAACATCTTTCGATAGGTCATTGTGGTTGTACGGCAGCGAAGGATCAGTTCAAATGGCTGATGTACTGCTGTTGGCCCTTCGGACGGACAACGGCGTAGTTCACGCGAATTGTCTTGATCTTCTTTTCATGTTCATCGATCTTGTCTCCCTACCCGGACAGTACCCTGCAATATCTGTATAGTAACTGCATAGTTTGATGTAACCTTTTGCAGATTGTTTATCCCGCACCACCGAACCGTACAATATGAACAGAATTCATGTCTTTTTTACACGAAGTGTATGTTCCGTAAAAGCAGTGCTTGGCGTACGGTCTTTTCCACTATCGTCAAGTAACCAAGTGGCGTAAATTGAGTCCAAAAGTGGACAGTTTTACAGTAGCTTGCTACTACTCGTTGCCGATGGCTAGTTGATTTCTTCCGTTGCATGTTCCACCCATCACTTGCTGGACTGTGTACTCAGCAGTTATTTGGCTCGCAGTTGCCATTCGCCGTATGTCATCAACCCGCGTTTTGTTTCCCCCATATTCGTGTAAACGTCTTTTCTTTTCGACCTACATTTTCAAGGAATATCTTCTGCACCCTCGGGAAGTAATGATCAAGGCGGCCATTTGGTACAAGTGCAATGCCGAATATCTACACTCCGCACGCCGTATGTGGTCGTTTTCTGCTGCTTTCCTGTCTGCCCTATCATCATTTGTTCCGGCGCACACCTACGAGCCACTATTGTCAACCTGATGTATCGTTTGTCTGCATGGTAGTAGCTGATACTACATCCTCGAGCAGCAATCTCAGATTCCACTGTCCTTTGTGAAGCTCGTGTCTTTACTGGTACTGAGAAACGGTGCGTTGTCGTTTTCTCTGAAGCGCGCTTGTTCTCACGAGCTTCAGCAAACAACCGCAACTGTAACACTCGACTTCACAACACGATAGGTCATTTTGGCTAACACCTGCACTGAATACATCCCATTGTCATCAGCAGTAAATAACGCGTTTCGGTTCGGAATTTCTTTTTGATCTAGAGCAACTCTTGGATTTCAGTCAATCTTTAGCGCACTATTTCGATATCAACAAACTACTCATCATGGAGAGTATGTAGCTATCACCGGCTGGTAGTCCAGCCATCTGGTTTGTACTCCTAAGGTCGCTTTTATAAGGCCGCGTAGATTTGGGCGATGATGGTTCTCCCGATGCATTGAAGCACCGGCTTACAACTTATGCCATCAAGCAACACTCAGTGTGTCCCAATGTGAGCTTGTGTAACGGTTTGACTGCCTCGGCGACAGATTGGACTCCACTACTTTGAAACTAGGAAAGCCACTTCTCCTAGCTTGTTCGTTGACCAGAGGTCATATTTAGGTTCCCGATTCTTCAGGTCTTGAGTCGAAACAACGATGGTACTCGTTCATGTAAAAACAACCTATAGCGTGGACCGTTGCCATATTCCCACTGCTTCACTGACAGCCTTCTAAACCGAGTGGATGCATGCAGGTGATAATCGTTCTTAGATTTTGATTTTGGCACCGTCGTTATATCCAGGCCAGACCACTACCGCAGCTCTCAAATGTTAACCTCGTTCTTAATCGATGCAGTTTCAAGAGGGTTAACATATCCCCCATATATATCGGAGGGCTCTCGATTGACTTACAGCAAAACCTCTGAACATGACCACCGTATTTTTTCATTGATTTATCGTTCACCATGTGAACCATGAGGATCCAGACCTGCGTACATTGACCACTTTTGTCCAGTCCCTTGAGTGTTCAATTTATGATGATTTTACTGTACATGCGAAGGCATACGACGAGTTTACGGTCATCGAGTCCGTTCGTTTTCAAACGCAACCTAACTACCATTTCGCTGAAGTGCTAAGCCATGCGTTTGTCGATTGTGCTCAGTAATTATCCCCTAACCACAAACACATCGAATCGCAGGGCCTTGAGTTCTGACTGTACCCTTTAGTGCCTTTGTGCACAACTTGTTTGCATGTGGTAGTGTATTGTGTTTGAGGATGATAATAAGAAGGAATTTTTAACGCAAACTGACTGTCTGATGACAGTCATGTGCCATTGTATAGAGTGGAATTCGTACCGCTTCCCGAGTTACGGAATATAGTGTGGTGTACAGGGGATTCGTTGTGTAGAGTGGTTCAAACGTTTGGCTTACATCGTTCACTCTCGGAATTTGACTCGTCGCTCTTGCCTAGGTTCCGGCATTCTTGCAGCATTCCAGCAGCCTTACCACGGAATGCGGTTGCATGAGACCGAAGTGCCAGTACGCAATACTGGTGATATGTTGACGTTCTGTGCAATGTGCAAACAGTGCTTGATAAAAGAGGGTTATGTCATATCCCATCCACTTCCCCTCGGAGCTTGTACACACTCCTGAGATTACCTCTGCTATACACCTTAGGCACTTGAACCGTGCAGTGGTTACTCACCTGTCGATATGATTAATTACACAACTGAATTTCGGTAAGTGTATTGAGAGCTTATGTTGTCTCGGGTCCGTAGCCCAAACGTAGCGACAACGTTAGTACGGGGCATAGTGTAATAAGCGACTCACCTAACATTCCCGTTCACCTTTGTGAATGAGGAGTCGAGTGTGTAAGTTTGGATGTGTGGTATGTAGCCAGAGTGGATCATTGCGTTAGTCTTTGGATAAACATGCGACAGTTAGCCTATTTTGCGCTGCATGTTTTTTGTTCGGGTACCCGGTAACTCATTACTACTAGCTTGTGAACGCCGCGCACCACCTTGTAACAACCAGCAGTTAAACGCTACTAGGACACCACCATGTGTCTTAGACTCAGATAAGTACAGTCACCTGGAGACTACCGCGAATCACCATCACACTAACTGGCCCGATCCTTCGATCCCGTGATGCTTTCCTAGCTTGATTCGTGTTGCAGCTCTTTCTTCCTAAAATTTTACACTTTGTTTCATTCCTATTTTCACGGCTTTGGATACACTCAGTTTCTCTTTAATCTGCACACTTCTCGCTCGTAATTCAGACGGTAACTAGCATCTCTTCTATTCATCGTTTTGTTCATTAATGCAGGCGATACTCGCGAGTGGGATTCTCTCACTTATTCGCTCTATATCAGGCACTTGAACCGATATCACGCTAAAGCAGTTCAACCAAATGTGCCATATATGTAGCATGTTCCTCTTTTCAAACTATCGCGCTTCGCTGTTCACCGTCTGGCCTTTCATTTCCCTAAATACACAATGCTCATTGTATCCAAAATACTGCATAAGTAGTTTTTGCACATTAGAACTGGTTGTAACCCCTATATATTCTTATCTTCTCCAGGTAAACGACTTGCCAAGAAGCGGCAACAAGAGGAGGATGCGAAAAATCCAAGAAAAAGGAGGGTAGGAGCTTATTTATCATCCACATCGTCTTGTTTATGTTCTCTCGTGGTACTATTTACCACAGTTTTCGTTCCGTCTCAGTCACATTATTGTCTCATCATCTATTGGCTCCGGGTTTCCGACAATATCACTCCCCCAAGCGACGTGTGTTCTATTTCTCATGGCTTACTTGTCATGGTGAGGCTAGCATGGCTGAGAGATCGGAGGATCTTGTGATCGACGATTAGTGACACATTCAACGGATGTTCTGGATTTCTTTGAATATTCCTATCCAACACTACAGACAACGACGGTCTGGATGCACGGGGCATATGGCGTATGTCCATTGTTTCCCTGAGTATTCTTGGCTGCTGACGGAGTCGTCGCAATGAGTGGTAACGTTTACTCTTCTCTCATTCGCTTTTGACTCATTTCTCGCTCTGGCTTATCTTTCTACTCGTGACAAAGGTCGCCTATCTCCGGCTGTTTTTTTACTACACGTTAGCTAGAGGTGGGAAACACCTCAGCTAGTGTGCTGCAATAGCTAAAAGAAAAAAGGGGGAAATGCAACAGGAGCAAGTGAGCTGAGCTACCGGTAACCGACGGGAATCGTTCCGGTAAGCTATCAGTCGGCTACCATGTAGCAAAAGGTTACCATGCAAAATTAAAGAAGACTAAATAGTGAGATCGTGGTTAGAGGGGGAGGCTAAGAAGCATGGTGTGGAACAAAGAAACTCACAGCACGAACGCCACTGAGGTCGGCTCCTAGCCATATCAACAAATGTATCTAGTCAAACGTGTTCATCGTTTTTCGGACCACAACCAGGGAGCTGAGACACTCCAACCGAGGCCAGTTTTGAGGTGAGGGCATTCACTCCTCTCGACCAAGTCAGCGCTTAGCCACCTCTCCTCTTCTTCCATCCACACCTCCGGCGAGCAAACAACGCACGTCGCGGGAGCCGGTGGGCTGGCATGCGTAATACGTGGCCGAGCCATCGGAGCCTGTTGCGTGAAATAGCGGTGCTGAGCGGTTCATTTCCTTTTCCTGTGCTGTAAACAAGGCGTCGAACACGCTCGTTGCTCATGCGGTGTTCCCACCAGATGTGAGCCAAACTGCGAAGGCACGGATGGTCGAACGTAACTAGCCTCTTCAGGTCCGCTGATCTAAAGGGGTCCAGGTTTCACAACCGTACATTAAGGTCGAACGTATCGCTGCATTGTACACTCTACCCTTCAGGGCGAGAGTGATGTCGCGCCGCCGCCATAGGTGGCGAAGGTTAGCAAAAGCGCCTCGAGTTCTTGCTATTCGGTTCGTGATCTCATCTTCAATCCCACGGGCACTGATACAACTTCCAAGGTAGTTGAATTTTTGAACGACTTTTAGCTGATCCCCACCAACGGTCAGCGTAGGAGGCGGTCCAGGCCCATCTTGGAGGAAAGCTTTGCACTTCGAAGGTGCGAAGCAAAGGCCAAAGTGACGGACAGTCAGTGCTAATCTGTCCAGTGCCGCTTGGCACGTTTGTGAGCTGTCACAGATTAGGGCAATATCATCAGCATACTCTAAGTCAAGAGGTCGTTCTCCTGGGAGTAGCTCCACACCTTCTAAGTCGTGTCCTGTAATCGCGATTTCCATGACTTCGTCAAAAGCGAAGTTGAGGAAGAAAGGTGACAACGGGCATCCTTGTCTCACTCCGCTGGATATATTAAAGGGCAACGACAGCTTGCCGTAAGCCCTCACTCTGCCTGAGCTACACGCGTATAATCCTCGGATTATATTTACATATTTCTCAGGTACACCTTTCCTGAGTAGACAGTCCCAAAGTGCACGTCTGTCCACCGAATCCAATGCACCTTTGATATCGAGGAATACGACAGCGATGGGCCGCCAATATATGTGACGGTGCTCCAACAACTGACGCAAAGTGAAGATGTGTTTCAATGCAGCCACGACCCCGACGAAACCCATCTTGCTTCTCACGAATGCCAGTCAATCTGTGAAGGATGACAGAGTCAAGCAATTTGCAGGCGATGGAGATCAGACTGATTCCTCTATGGTTACCGCATTCCGATCGTGAGCCTCGCTTGTAATTTGGGACTATGTCGGAGCGGCTCCAGTCGGTTGTGACAGTTTCCTGCTCCCACAGTTTCACTAGTAACTCGTATATATGATCCTCAATAGCAGGTCCCCTGAATTTAATGAGGGCTGGTGGTAGATCATCTGGTCTCGCGTCTTTATTCAACTTTAACAGTTCGGTCTCACGTTCGACTTCTGAGCGAGAGGGTGGATCCAAAGGGACAGCCCACGGAACGAGGCGATCAGTGGCCGATGAGTAATCTAACAATTCGGACAGCTTGAATTGCCTTTCAATTGCTCAGCCCAACGCTCCAAGCGTTTTGACAAGTTGTGAATAGGCTGTCCATTCTCATCACGTATAGTTTCACTAACACCAGGTCTCCTGCTGCCCGTTTCCAGTATCAGCCGGAATAACTTACGATGGTTACCAAGGGCAGCGGCCATTTTCATTTCTGAAGCACGATAAGACCACCAGGATTCGTGGTCTCTCTTCAGGCTGCGCGGAGTTTTGCCCGGAGTTCTTTGCGAGTTTCATTGTGTTCGCATCCAGCCGGCATGTGCCGGCGAGCATCGGTAAGTTCCAGAGACCACGAAGAGACCCAATGTCCATGTTGGCGATTAGGCTCACCGCATGAGGATTTTCCTGCTGCTAGTAAGCTCTAGTGTATATGAGACCCGTGAGCTTCACTTGCATCCAGTGAGCGCTTACTTAACTCGCTTGACAGCGTACTTTGATAGGCATTCAGCACAGCTGGCTTCGCCAGTTGGCTGGTGTCTATGCACTCACAGAGTCGTCCTGGGCGACCGCCAAAACGCATCCGCAGGTTAGCACATACAAGTGCATGGTTGTTGTCCACACATATGCTCCAGATCGAGCGACAATTCTGCACGCAGCCTCTCCAACAGTAACTTATCGCAATGTGATCGATTTGTGTCCAAGGCTGCTTCTAGGCTGGTGGGCGCCAAGTCATCCGCCGGTGGCTGCTGTGTCGGAAATTAGTGCTTGCAAGAAATAAGCGAGCATCTTCCCACAAATGAAGTAACCGCTCATCGTTATCATTACGGAAGGCTGCACCATATTGGCGGCCCACATGCAGTTCATCAGTGGATAATTTTCCAACTTGAGCGCTCAGATCCCCAGCCAGCACAACAGTGTCCGAGCTTCTTCTGTGACGAAGGAGCTCGTTCAGTTGGCAATAGAATCGTCTTTTACCGAATCATCGCTAGAGTTTGTGGGTGCATAGGCAGCGATGACGTATAGACACCTGTTAGTCCCGTGCGGCTTCGAAGCTTTGAACGAGCCAGTCAATGGAACCGCACACAACGGGATACCGATTGGAATCCAATCAACCAGAGCAGAGCAACTTCAGCCCGGGGAATCAGGGCAGTACCAACACCGGCTTGGCCGGTGTTCGAAGCTGCATCGTCACCGGTTAGGCGCAATGAGAAAGTGCTGCTGGTGTCACCTGAAAGGGATCGCAAAGTGAGCACTGAGCTCAAGTCTTGCACGCAAGTCTCCCGTAAGCATCAGATATCGATGGAGAGGGTCTCTAATGTTCGGGCAAGTGCTGCCTGTTGACCGATCTGTAGCAATGTGAGTACATTGAGGCATGCCAGTCTGAAGGATGATGGAGGGCTCCATATGGAAGCCGATGAACTGGGCTTGGCCGCTTGGTTGGACATGGGCTTGTCGACAGGGCAGGAATGACGCTCCGCGTTCGCATGTGAGTTGAAACTAAAAAACAAGCGACTATTGAAGTAAGGTGGGGGAGGTCCGAGAATTGGGGGGTTGCAAACAAGGGGGGATAAAAGTGATGCTGGAACGGGACGGTAGGAGTGAAAAAGGGTTAGAGGGGGAATAAGAAGACGGGAAGGCTTGACCAGTAGTATCCAAACCCATATCCACCCTGTTCGATGCAGCAGATAGGGCACCGTTGATTATCCTCTGCGGTGGCTAGAGCATCAGAAATTTGTTTGAAGTGAGATTCATTGTATTGCGTGGGCAGGATACTGTCAAGTTGCCCAGGCCTAAACAGGAGAACGATTAGGGTTCTCAACCAAAGCCTTTGGTTCAAAAACCTGCCCGCAAGGTAGCGGGTTTTACGTTTAGCTACAAGGAGTCCGTTTTAAGAAATAAGGTGCCATCCTCATTCCAAACTCAACCTTTAGGACCAGGAGTGTGAATTTTTCTGGCCTCTAACTGTGGATCAATCTGGTATGAGTGTCTCTGATGGTGTAAAGCACCACCCAGCATAGCTCAATGAATCTCTGAAGCACGCAAACCATCGCACCACGATAAGGTCCAGCCACATTGCGATGGATCCAGCCTCATTGCAACGGAGTCCAACCTCATTGCGATGGTATCTCCGACTGAGAAGACAAGCGATAAGTGGACTAGACCGCACAGGTTCTCGCTGCACTTTCCTCATTTATTCGATCCAGCTTAAGTCTGACGGTCCTTTGGGTGACTTCACTGACTCAATTGTAAACACATATTTTTGTCATCTCACTCTCTATTCTCAGTATTCATACTTACGGAATAGCAGTGGACTCATTTGTCGTGATCCGTGTTGCTGTGGAAATTTATGTTATTGACGATAAGGTATGCAGAAATTAGAGGTCACGAGCAACAATTCCAGTTAAAAGCATTTTGAAAGAGCGCAGACTATTCACTTGGGTGTTACATCCACGTACATTGAACTATATGCAACTCCACGAGATGATATATAAATGTGGGTAGTTCAGATTGTTAGACGAACTGTTCGCTGAGCTTGGCAGTTTTATTCGCAAATGTTTCGTCACCAGTCGAGGTGACCTCATCAGTGCGTAGCGATGCGTAAGTAAATGTGACACGTGTAGTCCAGCGCGTGCGTGTTGCTGAGTCATCATCATCGTCCCTTTGGGAATGTGACCTTTGAAAATGGCCTCTTCGACCCGTGCCTCGTGA